CCTGGCTCCGGCTCCAGGTCGATCGTCTCTGGTGGGTGTGTGGGAAGTTCCTTTTATGGTTGAAATGGAGACTTTGTTGGCGGGAAGGAGCCAGCCGGTGGTGGCTGCTTGGGTTTCCAAGAGGATCCGCTGCTAGTCTCTGGGGAGCTTTCCCAGGAGGGTTGAGCAGAGAGGCTGCTTGTTCGTTCTCGGTACACATGAAACACCTTCTGTGTACAGGGCCCAGAGGAGGTCAAGGAGGGAGACGGAAGATGGAAAGACATAGGGCTTCGGGGTTGGATAGGCTCAGCTGCGTTCTCCTTCTGGCCCTGGTCAGCTGTGCGCCTTTGGGTCACTGGCTTACGAGCTCTGTCTGCTTCTGTCCCTCTGTAAAATAAAGGTGACATTAACTTCATGGACCAGTTAGAGTGTCTTTAGTTGCAAAGAAAATCTGTTATTACCTCACATAAGAAAACCTCCCCAGGTAGGGTGAGTCACCTTCACCTGAGGTTCCCGGTGGCTGGTTAATTCAGTGGCCCCGTGGAACCCCTTTGTGGTAGTCTCCATGCATTTCTTGTCCCAGCTGCCCAGTTCTCCTTTTGGTGCCCAAATGACTGCATTCCAGAGGAAACCCAGAGGCAGAAAAGTAGTCTATTCCTTGTGCCTCTTTTTAAGAGAGAGAAAGAGCCTTCCAGGAACCCCCAACAGACTTCTCCTCAAGTCTCCATGGCCAGAATTGCCACGGATGGCCCATCCTACCCAATCCCTGATAAGAACAGCAGAGTTACCAGGAAGGGCCAAGACTCATCTGTGGGTCTGAGCTACCCCTTCCACGCCCTTGTACCAGGCTCCCAAACCTGAACAAAATCGGGGGAGGCAGCTAGTGGTTCATCACACTCAGGGGGTGTCAGAGCCCTCCAGGCCCCTGGTTCTCAGCGCGGTGCCTGCAGGAACAAAACGGACATGGCGGAAGTGCTCGCCCTTCCCCGGCCCACTCTGAGAGCGCACAGACTCTGACGGGGCAAGGACTGTCCCCCGGGGGGATCAGCAGGCAATGGAAGAAGCAGAGGCACGTGCTTCAGGGTTTGAGGAGGCGGTTACTGAGATTAAACTCTAGTCACGGCCTTGGTGGGGTGTTTTGCCAGGTCTCTAGACTGGAGGAGGCTGGCTATCAAAAGAGAAGCAGACTTTGCTGCTTAATGAAGTGTCAGAAGAGCAAAGCCAAGTTTACAAGCAACGTGCATGGACCTAATCTCCACAGCCTTTCTAATTTTTCCACTGTACAGCTGGTCTGCGAGCACACTTCTCCTTTAGTGTTAGCCAATAAATCAAAACCCTTTAGGAGAAATACCGAAATTGCTAAAGCCTTAATCGTCAGTACATAGCTACATTTCTGTGGGTTAGTAATTCTTGCTGAATACTTTTGCAATATCAGGCTGGCCGCCATCTTTGGGCTCTTTATAATGTCCCAATCTCTGTTCCTGGAGAGACGGTGGAACAAACCCCCTGCAATCTTGCACGGTTTCTTCAGAGTGCCTTTGTACCCTAGCCTCTTGCCGTCAGTTTTTAGAGCAGTGTAGTGGAAAGATCACTGGCCTGAGAGTCAGAAGATGTGTGCCATGGGATTCAGGCCAGTCTGTGACCTCTGAGGGCCGCAGTCTCCCTTTCTGAGCACAGACACTGGATTAGATCCTAGTGATCAGGACCTCGTCCCCTCCCAGGCCTGTGCAGACGTTGCGAGTCAGTCATGGCTTTCTCGCTGCTCACTGCCTCCTGGCCTAGACCCAGTCTTAGAATCCTTTCCCAGTAGCTAGGCAGCGATCATTGATGGATCCATCAGAGGTGGTATTCAAGATGAAACTGGTTTTCTACCTCAGAACTAGTTATCCCCTGGGGCCCTTGTAGTTTCATAATTTCTCCACGGAAGACAGGTTAAGAGCTGACTTGCCCCTGCTCTGTCATGACGCACATTACTTTTTGAAGAGCCTTATCCGAACTCCATTTGAAGCCCTATTCCTCTAGGACATGTTATGATCAAGGGCTATTACACAGGAGGGTCGTGGCAACAGTGATCCCCTTGGTCTTTCTCACTGAGAATCTCCAGCATTTGGCCCAGAACATAATAGGACCCAGTTATCTGTGGAGTGAAATGAATGAGTTTGGGATGGGGGTCTGCTCGGAAAGCATGCCCTCCCCTTGTCTCTATGGGAGGGGTCCTGGGGGCTGCATTATGTGTTGGGAAAGAAAACTGCTTCCCTCCTTTTGGATGTTGTTAGAGTTTTAAAAGTCTTCTCTGGGTTTCTTCTGTCTGGTTTGCATTTGGCTTTCCAAGCCTTAGAAGTAAAGAGAATGGAAATTAAAGCTTCACACTGGGAAGGAGCCTGCTTCATTAGGGCTGGGCCTGGGAGCTTTCAGGTACCTCAGAAGAGGAACCTCTGTTCCCGCTGGCATCCCTGGCCCACAGCCTGGTCCTTGTGGACCCGCAGCTGTGTCGGGCGTGGAGCCACGCTTCCTAGTGCATCCCCACCTGTTGCCTCCGGCAGCCCCTGCCTGCTTTCCTCCCCCAGGAACTCCTGGCCTGTATCCGGGTAGCTGTTTTCTTAGCTGCTTGGAGGGTCTGCTCCCCGGCTGAAGGCTCCCCTGAAAACTGTGGCCGTGTCTTTGGCCAGCCTGGGGAGGGAGCTTGATTCGGCCTCCCTGCCAATAGTGGAAGGAAAGAAACATTTTCAGACGGGTGCAGTGTGGGTCACTGCAGGTAAGCCTCGTAGTCAGCCCTTACTTTACAGATGTGCAGACTGAGGCTCAGAGACGAGAGGCAGTGACCCAGCGAGGAGGAGACGAAGCTGGGACCCACCTGCACGTTGACTGCAGATGTCTGTGTTGCACAGAGCTGCGGGCACGTGGGAGGCGGGTGATCTCGTGGGAGAACGGGGTGGGGGGAGCAGCAGTTCCGCTGGGTGAGGAAGGGGCGCTCTTCTCCTGCATTCAGTGTGTACTCCCCTGCCCTCGCCTCCAGATGTGTTCTTTTGGGTCCAACCCTCTGGGAGCTGGCCGCAAAACTGCAGGATTGCTTCAGGCCCTACTCTGGTTCCGGGGGGCAGGCTGAGCCTTTGGTTAGTTCTTCTTCCTGATTGGAAATTAGAGTGACATGTGCCCGTCCATCACCTACAGCTAGTCTCTCATTGGTTCCCCCTCTTCCCGTTCATCCTCCGGACAAATTGCAAACTGTACGAAACAGGAGGTTAAAGGTGCTGATTCTCCTAAGGTGGGAGATTGTTAGTAAAGCGGCTGGAATGGCGAACCCGAGCACCAGGAGATGAAAAATGAGGTGCGTTATAGAAACCCTTCCCGATCACACGGTGTACCATCCTCTGGGTTTCCCATGCATGCTTTAGCTGTAGGAAGTTTTCCTTGAACCTGGAGATTTCGTTTTAGAAACCCTTCCCGATCACACGTGTACTATCCTCTGGGTTTCCCATGTACACATTTCTTTAAGTTTGTAGCCAAATTTCATTGTTGTTGTCAGTTTGTCTTTATGACATTTAATATGTGTGAAACATTGTTATAATTTGCATTTCTTTGACCACTACTGAGATCGGACAGTCTTTCCTGTCTTTACTTTTTTTTTATTGTGATAAAATATAAAATTTGCCATTTTAACCATTCTTAGGTGTTCAGTTCAGTGGCATTAAGTACATTCACACTGTCATGCAGCCATCAGCACTATCCATTTCTAGAACTTTTTTATCAGCCTAAACAGAAACTCTGTAGCCGTCAAGCAAGAACCCCACACACTCTCTCCCTCAGCTCCTGGTAACCTCAAATCTACTTTCTGTGGCTCTAAATTTGCCTAGTCTAGTTATTTCATATAAGTAAAATCATCCAATATTTGTCCTTTTGTGCCTGGCTTCTTTCACTCAACATAATGTCTTCAAGGTTCGTTTGTGTTGTAGTGCTTTCTGTGGTTGAATAACGTCCCACTGTGTGTATGGACCACGCTGGCCTATCTGTTCATCTGTTTCTGGACACGGGTTGTTTCCGCACCAGGCAGCTTTTTACATGGAGACAGGACCTTTCCAGCTACTTGCCTCTGTTGTGGGGACGCTTGCTGAAGCCTGGAGAACCTGCGTCTGCCTGCGGGGCGGGGTGACCACCGCTGTTGGGGGTGGTGGTGAGCTTTCAAGGTAACTAACCTGGGATTGTTTAAAAAGCACAGGATGAACACTGTAATTGTTCCTGTGCTGACACTAACTCTCATTTGGTTTTCTTCCTGTCCACTCCATGAACGCAACAGCACGGAGGAGGACCTCCAGAGAGCGCACTTCATCGTTTGCTTCCAAGCAACGAATCATCTTCCGCAGATGGAAATTTACCTTGTTCTTGAAGTTCCCCAGAGGAGCCACCTGGGAGCCCCAAGTCTCTGCTGGGTGACCTGGGCAGGCCACGCCTAACTGGCCTCAGTTTCCCCATCTGTAAAATGATGTAAAATCCCTTCTAAGAGATTACATGTCCTTCCTGGACAGACAGATTAAAAAGTACCTTTTAAATTCAAGTCCAGTTTTTTTCCTTGCTGTTCGTGCTTCAAGCCTGTTCCCCTCTCCTGTGTGAAAAGCACTGGTCAGCATTCCCCCCAGAGAAATCCTGTATTTATTGCCCACACCTGTGATGTCTGTGGTCCCGCGGCCTCTGGTTAAATGACAGGGTGGAGTCCCCGGTGTGAGCGGATGGACCGCAGCTGCCACGCCCACTGGGTTTCTTTCTTGCTCCTGTTTGACAGGCGCCTCCCCCCGCCCCCCGGTGTCCAGCCTTTCTCTGGAGGCCTGGCAGCTCTGACGTGGCCTTGGGAGACTTTGCTTTCTGCCTCTCCGGATGTACTGGCCCCTCTCTCATCACCGGAAAATAAACGATGCTGCTTGTCAACTGTTTGCTCCTCAGCCGCCAGCTGTGCGAGAGGCGAAAATTCACACTGCATCAGTCTCCCCTGAGGTACGAGGCCACTCACGGGCGTTTTTCTTTTTCAGAACAATAAATCTGAAGAATTCAGTGCTGCAGCAGGTGCTGGAGAGGAAGAATGAGGTCCTGTGTGTCCTGACACAGAAGATAGTGACGACGCGGAAGTGTGTGATATCCGAGCACGTCCAGATCGAGGAGAAGTGCGGTGGCATGGTGGGGATCCAGACCAAGACCGTGCAGGTGCGCTCCCAGCGGGTGGAGGTGCCGGGTCAGAGGCCACGGGGGCCTCGGTCAGGGGCCTCTTCGGGTGGGGTCTTCATTCGTCAGGATTCTTTCTGTAGTGAGTTAACAGAAATCCAACTCAAACTGGTTTAATCGAGAAAGAATTTATTGGCTCACGTAACTGAAACATTTGGGGTGATCTAGCTTCAGTCACCTCTGGATCCAGGCCAGGACTCAAGAGCAGGTTGTGGGCTGCCTTCCCTGGGGTAGATTCCCTCTCATATAAGCTTGTGGGGAGGCAGCTCCTGGCTTTCTTCCCACCTCATCCCCAGTGGAAAGAGTGCTTCAGGGCTAGCACTCACTGGACCCTCCCGGTCCGTGCTCATTCCTGAAGTAAACCCAAGGCCGGGGTGATAGGACACTTGGACGGGCCATGCAGGGTTGGATCAGGTGCTTTCCCAAAAGCAAATGGGTCAAATGAGCATTGGCTAGGTCGACGCACAGATGACCCCTAGAGCCCCTCAGAGCCAAGGGTCTCAAAATGATTCCTTTGCTTTAGCTGCCTTAAATCCCTAATGGATTGAGTTAGGGAAGGTAAAGATCTGTACATATGTCTTTATATACATACACAGATGCTTCTGGATTAAGTTACAGACAGTCTTACCAAGCTGATCCCTGAGCTTCAGTGGAACCGAACTGGCACCGGAGGCTGCAGCCCCAGACTGTGTCCCCTCCAGCTTGCCACGGTGCCCGATATTCTTTTCTTAGAGATTTACTTCTTGGGGTAACTTTCAAATTATACTAGAGGACCCAGAAAAGTTGTATTTAGGAGGTGGAGATACAGGTCCAGGGCTGGACTCTCCCTGGGGTGGGCAGGCCGGACAGAGTGATGAGGCCTGATGGGAGATGGCTTCAGCTGGCCCTGCCGATATTTCTATCCACGGTGATCCCCACCAAAGGCCTGGAGCCTGCCTGGGAGTCAGGAGACCAGCTGGCATCACACTGTGACCAGGATCAAGTTGCTAAAGATGTCTCTGATCTCCAGCATTTGGGCAACGAATAGCTTCTCACCTTCCTCCCCAGGCCACGGTGGGCAAGGGTCATATTTGTGACAGGGTTTGAAGGAGAGAGCTTTGGTGCCTGACTCGGCATTTCCTGCCCGCCCTTCTGTCATCCTTGTGCCTCTCCCCTGGTTTTATCTGACTGCACCGTGTGCCATCCATGAGGTCCAGGAGGATGTGCTCGGGGGGTCTTGCTCTCAGCTAGGTTCTCCTAGTCGGGCTCTCTTACCACTGAGGATTTTCTGAGGATTTCAGAGTTGTTTCCATAATCCTCCACGAGGGAAATGGGAAGTTATCTTGTTTTCTGTCTTCTTTATTCAGCACCATAGACCTAACTTCATTGTATCCCAAACTGGGATCTCGCCTTTGTGCCACCAGGTTGGCCATTGACTTTGGAATACGTGTAGGACATCATGAGGCCGACAAGGATTAAATCCTGGCCCCTGCCCGCTGGTCCCTTTTTCTGCTCCATTCCATGGGCATTTCCCTGGCACTCTTTGTGCACAGGCACTAGGCTGGCCACATGGGGGCAGGAGAAACCTGGGGGAGCCTGAGCACACAGGTGGGAGCATGCGCCCTTGCCCACAGGTGTCAGCGATGGAGGATGGGAACATCATCAAGGACAGCAATGTGGTGCTGGAAATCCCGGCTCCCACCACCATCGCCTACGGCGTCATCGAGCTGTATGTGAGAGCAGACGGCCAGTTCGGTGAGTGTGCCTCAGCTCAGAGCTCTCTGGAGGCGGTTGAGCCATCGCAGAGGGACACCCCATCTTCCCCTGAGACACACACTTGTAGAGGATCCCCCGCTGCTCTGGGGATTGAGAAGAAAGAGGTATCGGAAGAGTTTGGGGATGTCTCAAGACAAGTGAGACGGAGGGCCGCGGTGGGAGGGTGTTGGTGAGGGATGCCCAGATGTCGGTGTGGGGCGTGCTTCACCGACGGGGCACAGGGCGAAGAACGTGGGCTCTGCAGTTGGACGGACTGGGCATCGGCCCCAGCGCCACGGGGTCCTGTGAGGTCTCAGGCAGCTTGCTGAAGCCGCCTGGGCCTCAGCTTCCCGTGTCTGGGAGGGGAAAGACGTTCCCTCACAGGGCTGCGGTGAGGACCAGGGTAGATGCGCTGTGTGAAGTGCCCGGTAGAGCGGTGGCTTATTAAGTACTCACCTTAGCTATTAATAATACTGTCATCGTTGTGATCATCTTACCTCCCGTCCCTGTAGGGAGCCCACAGAGCTGCATTTGACCTTGCTGTCTGATCAGCAGTGTGTTCAAAGCCGGGAGGTCACTGCATCACTTGAAGAAAATAGGGTTTTACAGTTGGTGTGGCTTGTCTTAGATACTCACGGCTCTTCCCTCACACTCTTCCCAGGAAAAGGTTGTGTCAAACCCAAGAAAAGTGTCTGACTGCTTTTTGGGGACATGAATTAATATATGTAACATCATAAATAATTAACTTTTTTAGGTATGATCACAATGTCATGGTTATGCTTATGAAAAGCGTCATCTTAGTTTTTAGAGATTTACAGTGAACTCTTCACAGATGAAATGGAAATATGTCTGTGGTTTGCTTCAAGCACGATGGCGGAGAGTGAGGGGTGTGTGTGGTGGGTAGAGGTGGGGGAGGTCGTCACAGCCGGTCGATGCGTGTGCGGAGGCTCCCTGTACTACTCTGTCCCTGTGCACTTTCGATTCTCCATGATGAGAACATTGTAAAAGGGTGCCGTGACGGGCCATACATGTCCGTGGCTGCCTCCTGCCCTTCCCCCAGTTGTTTTCTGTCAGGTGGCGGGGACCAGGCCAGGGATGCGGGTGTCTTCCGGGAGTCAGCCTTCTGCTCACTCGGCCACGCTAGGTACCACCGTTCAGCTACAACCGTGGGCGCTCGGAATGCTGACTGTCCTATGGGACAGTGGACAAGCCCGCGGATGTGTAAGGGACGTGAAGGGCAATCACTGACCCTCCCTCTTTCGTTTCGCATGTAGAGCAGCCTGTGTTGCGGGGGGGGGAGACAAGAAGCGAAGGTGCCAGTTGTAGGAAGTTGGTCTAGGGGTGGGCCAGGGACCCATGGGATACCAGGAATACCAAGAATCGCGACCAGCAAGCATCCTTTAGGTCTAAGCTTCCAAATTTGCGTCATCCTGGGCATGATGATGATTCTTTCTCTTTGAAAGACTATCCGTCCACTGAACAAACTGCCTATTAGATGATTAAGTTGCCCCCCCAGCTTTTGTCATCAGCGTGTGATAAGCTGTGTGACCACGTGGGCATGTGTGACTCCAGCCCAGGCTGCTGAGGCCTTGGTCATCCTGTCCAGATGGATTGGTGGTGGAGGTGTTGCTTTTGTCAGGCTCTTTGGAAGCTTGGCCCGCACCGAGGATGCCCATGAGTGCTCTGAGGACCCTTTGGTGGCTGGGGGCCAGGCTGGGGCTGCCGTTCCAGGCTTTGGGGCCCCCGGGAGCCCCTCCCTGTTTCTCCGAGGAGGTGGAGGTGCTCTGCCCTGCATGCAGCTCTGTTGGGGCACCTGTCGCTCCCACAGGGGGCGTCTGTTTTCTCAGATGGGGTTGGAAAGACAAAGCCTGCCTGGCGAGGCTCTCCTGTTTGCATTTCAGTTTCAAGCCTTCTATCTTGACTTGCTTCTGCTGTCTTGACAATAAACTCTTTGCGCTGCTGAGCAGAGGTGCCCTGGGGAGTCCTCAGGGTTCCTCTGGCTCTCTTCCCACACCCTGGCCTAGGAAGCCCTTTCCTTTGCCCTCTCCTGCTGCTGCCTGCCCTGCCCGTGCAGCTTGGTGGTCAGGCCCTTGTTCGTGTGACACACTGCCTGATTCTTAAGCCAGTTCTGCTGCTTTTTCCCATCTCTTTTCTGTTGCTCTTCCTGCAGAACGTTCTGATCCGGCTTCATAAACAGCCCTACAGGGGCTGGAAGGGCCCTTAAGAGGCTGCTCGATCTCTCCTCCCACCTTCTGGGTGGGAGTACAGTTGACGAGGATCCTGGCTGTCTTCTGAAACTTCGAGAGGAGGCCACTCCCTCCGTGTCCCTTGGGGGAGGCATCTGTGAGCCCGTCCTTGACGAGGGGTTCGCTCAGCCACGATCCCTCCCTTTGCCAACAGACCCCCCCCAACACCTCTTATGGCCAATCAGAAACATCATGTTATTGTCTTGAACTTTAGCCTTTGCTTTGTAGAATTAGGCATTTACCAGTGTCCTTTCAGCACGAACTTCTGATTGGGCACCTGTGGACGTGAACCTGTGCTTCCCACCCTCCCGGGTCTGTGCACTTCTCTGCAGGTCCAGAGGCCGACACTGACACCCCCCGCCTCGTTCCCATCACAGACTCTTAATTGGCTCCTCTGCTTTGAATCTTTCCCATCCTAACAGTGTAGCTGACGTGATTATTTAAAAATACACATTTGGGGCTTCCCTGGTGGCGCAGTGGTTGAGAGTCCGCCTGCCGATGCAGGGGACACGGGTTCGTGCCCCGGTCCGGGAGGATCCCACATGCCGCGGAGTGGCTGGTCCCGTGAGCCATGGCCGCTGAGCCTGCGCGTCCGGAGGCTGTGCTCCGCAACGGGAGAGGCCACAACAGTGAGAGACCCGCGTACCGCAAAAAAAAAAAAATACACATTTGGTCACTTCACTCACCTGCTCAGACACCCTTCTGAGGCTCCCTTTGTCCCAAGATAAAGTCTGCCCTTCCAGGCACGTCATGTCCAGCCTTGCTTCTCATCACCAGCGCCTCCCAACGTAGTGATACAGCCAGGGTTAACCCACCGCCTGGGAACCCTCCACTCTCCCTTATCGTGAGCCTCTGGAGTGTGCGCCCTGCCTCTTGGCCCAGCTAATTCCTCCCAGGCTTTTGGGGGCTACTTAGACACTGCTTCGTCCAAGAATCCTTTTCTGCTTCTTTCTCCACACCTGCCACTCTGGATTCAGTGGCCTGTCCGCCTCTTCCACTCATATCACACTTACTGTCAAGGCCTAGGTTGTGGTCCTGTTGAATCTCTGGCTCCTTGCAGTGCCTGATGCTGCAAAGAGTGAAGGAGTTGGCAGTGCCTTCAGGGGGGCTGTGCCTATGTGTAAAGGAAGAGTGGTGCTGGGGTCTTGGACTCCCAGAATATGGTTGGGGGGCCCCACAGGGCTATTGGCAGGATTTGAGGCTGTGTTAATGGTCATGGTCCTTGTCCTTGGGGAGCTTTCCCTGGGGGTCAGTTCACGCTTATCCACCTCGGTGCCTGGTGCATAGGGTGGAGCGAGCCAGGGGCATCCTGGATGACTAGGAGTGTGGGTGGGTCGTCGGCTGAATAAACGAAAGCTTGTTTTCTTTGTCTTTAGACAGCTGTCCTGTCTTTATGGATGTCACCAGTGTTCACAGCAATTGAAAACACGTGCTAATACCCATGCCTTTCACATGTCATGCAAGTACTAGGCTCAGCCGCATTCTCATGCCATAGCCTGTACACAAATTATTAAATAGAAGCATAAAATGAACCCTCATTCTTTTTTAAACATTTTTATTGGAGTAGAGTTGATTTACAATGTTGTGTTAGTTTCAGGTGTACAGCAAAGTGATTCAGTGATACATATATCCACTCTTTTAAATTCTTTTCCCATATAGGTCATTACAGAGTACTGAGTAGAGTTTCCTGTGCTATACAGCAGGTCCTTATTAGCTGTCTATTTTATATATAGTAGTGTGTATATGTCAATGCCAGTCTCCCAGTTTATCCCTCCCCTCTTTCCCCCTGGTAACCATAAGATTGTTTTCTACATCTCTAACTCTATTTCAGTTTTGTAATCTTTCTAGATTCCACATATAAGCAATATCATACGATATTTGTTCTGTGACTTACTTCCCTCAGTATGACAATCTCTAGGTCCACCCATGTTGCTGCAAATGGTATTATTTCATTATTTTTTATGGCTGAGTTATATTGCATTGTATATATGTACCACATCTTCTTTATCCATTCCTCTGTTGATGGGCATTTAGGTTGCTTCCACATCTTGGCTATTGTAAGTAGTGCTGCAGTGAACATTGGAGTGCATGTATCTCTTTGATTTATGGTTTTCTCTGGGTGTATGCCCAGAAGTGCGATTGCTGGATCATGTGGTAGTTCTATTTTTAGTTTTCTAAGGAACATCCATACTGTTCTCCATGGTGGCTGTATCAATTTACATTCCCACCAACAGTGCAAGAGGGTTCCCTTTTCTCCACACCCTCTCAGAATTTATTGTTTGTAGATTTTTTGATGATGGCCATTCTGACTGGTGTGAGGTGATGCCTCATTGTAGTTTTGATTTGCATTTCTCTAATAATTAGCAATATTGAGCATCTTTTCGTGTGTTTTTTGGCCATCTGTCTTCTTTGGAGAAATGTCTGTTTAGTTCTAATGCCTATTTTTTGATTGGATTGTTTTGTTGTTGAGTTGTATGAGCTATTTGTGTATTTTGGAGATTAATCCCTTGTTGGTCGCTTCATTTGCAAATATTTTCTCCCATCCTGGCGTTGTCTTTTCCTTTTGTTTATGGTTTCCTTTGCTGTGCAAAAGCTTTTGAGTTTAATTAGGTGCCATTTGTTTTCTTTTTGTTTTTATTTTCATTACTGTAGGAGGTGGGTCAGGAGAACCCTCATTCTTTTTTTTTTTAACATCTTTATTGGAGTATAATTGCTTTACAATGGTATGTTAGTTTCTGCTTTATAACAAAGTGAATCAGTTATACATATACATATGTTCCCATATCTCTTCCCTCTTGCGTCTCCCTCCCTCCCACCCTCCCTATGTCTCCCTCCCTCCCACCCTCCCTATCCCACCCCTCCAGGCGGTTCTTGTGCTATGCGGCTGCTTCCCACTAGCTATCTACCTTACATTTGGTAGTGTCCATGCCTCTTGCTTTGTCACAGCTTACCCTTCCCCCTCCCCATATCCTCAAGTCCATTCTCTAGTAGGTCTGCGTCTTTATTCCTGTCTTACCCCTAGGTTCTTCATGACATTTTTTTTTCTTAAATTCCATATATATGTGTTAGCATACGGTATTTGTCTTTCTCTTTCTGACTTACTTCACTCTGTATGAAAGACTCTAGGTCTATCCACCTCATTACAAATAGCTCAATTTCGTTTCTTTTTATGGCTGAGTAATATTCCATTGTATATATGTGCCACATCTTCTTTATTCATTCATCCGATGATGGACACTTAGGTTGTTTCCATCTCCGGGCTATTGTAAATAGAGCTGCAATGAACATTTTGGTACATGACTCTTTTTGAATTACGGTTTTCTCAGGTTATGTCCAGTAGTGGGATTGCTGGGTCATATGGTAGTTCTGTTTGTAGTTTTTTAAGGAACCTCCATACTGTTCTCCACAGTGGCTGTATCAATTTACATTCCCTCCAACAGTGCAAGAGGGAGAACCCTCATTCTTGAGTTCACACAATTTTTACTTAGCAAGGACACACGGTTGCATTTTTTTTTTTTTTTTTTTTTTTGCAGTACGCGGGCTTCTCACTGCTGTGGCCTCTCCCATTGCGGAGCACAGGCTCCGGACGCACAGGCTCAGCGGCCATGGCTCACCGGCCCAGCCGCTCCGCGGCATGTGGGATCTTCCCGGACCAGGGCACCAACCCGTGTCCCCTGCATCGGCAGGCAGACTCTCAACCACCGCGCCACTAGGGAAGCCCCACACTGTTGCATTTTTACCTACAACTTAGTTACTTTAGTTGGGCCCTCAAATACGGAAATATTTAAGGGGCATTTCTTTTTATAATTTTTAAAAACTTTTTATTATGGAAAATTACACACATGTTCAGAACTACAGATAGTAATATAGTGAACCCCATGTACCTACCATCCAGCTTCAATAACTAGGGCAGTGCATGTTTCATCTATAACTTTCCCACCTCTCTCCACCCCTAGTCAATTGTTTTGAAGCAAATTGTAGGCATTATATTATTTTGTCTATAACTATTGAAATATCTCTAAAAGATAAGGCTTTAAAAAAAAAGACTGGTCTCTTCATACAGATTCATATAGAATATATTCTTTTGTGTATGGATTTTCCTCTCAACATGTTTATAAGGTTCGTTCATATAATTGCAGAAAATAGTTTATTGACGAAGAATAACTGACTCTCCAAGAGCCACGTAACCACTTGTGCACCTAAATATATTGTCAATAATTCTGTATCAGTTTAGTCAAATCAGATTTATCAATCAAATTCCAATTTTCTCAGTTAAATATGGTGGGTTGTTTGTTGGAGCTGGTTTGTTCCAGTCAGGCTAAGGAAGTACTTCTGATGTTTGAAAGGTTGCTTCCTGCCTGTTCACGAGAACCTTATGTTAAGAACAACCATTTCTCCTGTATTTGTAGGAAGTGGCTGAGTTTTGGTCAAATAGCATAATGTGTAGGAAGCGGGTGTATGAGGAAGAGGGTGGACACGTCCCCCTGCCCTGCTTGATTTAGGTAAAGCCAGGTCTGGGATGTGCCAACAAGGTTGACCCTAATGCCCAGCTTGTCCTTTTCCCCCACATTACAGAATTCTGCCTCCTGCAAGGGAAGCACGGGGGCTTCGAGCACGAGAGGAGAAGTGACTCTGCCTTCCTGGACCTCCTGCCCTTACGAGAGTTTGCGTTCTGGGACACGCCAGATGCTGGGCAAGGGCTGCCTGCCTCGGATGGGCCACTGAGTGTTTTAAAACAAGGTATTGCCAGCAGGCTGGGGCATGGTGAGCTGCTGGGTAATTGAGTGCCGTACCCCAGGAGGGGATGCGTCCTTCAGAAGCGGTGACTCCTTAGTGACTTCATGGAAAACATTTGAGGACAGACAGGACGGTGCCTGAATCAGTTCTAGTTCACTCATCAGGGCTCACCCTGGTCAGATCTTAGGGAACCTCAGGTCTTGGATGGCCTGTTTTAAGGAAGGGGTAGGAGGCTGAGGAGGGGAAGAGTTAGGGGCCTAACATTTTCTTTCATCTGAACCACAGGAGTCTTGCTGACTACCAGGAAGAGCTAGTCAGCAGCAAGGAGAGAGAACCCAAGTTTTGCACTTGTTTCATTTATTCCAGGCTTCATTGCCAAGACAGGCAGCGCTTCGTTAGCTTCACAAAATGCTCTCTTGGAGGCCCTTATCCACGTGGCATGAAGCCGTGAGATGCCAAGGCATCCCGCGAGGAGGAGGGCAGTACCTGTGACTTGCCTGCAGCAATTCCTTTCGCTCCCCACAGCATTTTGTGTTTTTTAAAAAAGTTTCTTGTAGGGGGTAGGGCAGGAATTAGTAGGAGTGCAGTATATAGTGGAAGAGGAGATGGGCAAGGAAAAAGAGAAAGCGAATAATTAAGAGCTTAGGGAAAAAGAGCTAGAACCAGCTCAGAATATCTCTGGCTTGGAGGGTTAGAGGAGAGACTCATCAGTGGGGCTTCAACGAGTCCCAAACCAGAATATAGATGCTTTTGTTTCTGTAGCAGAAATATCAATGTTGACAGAATTGGCAGTGAAGGTCCAATCTTAAGGCTTTCCCATCTCATGCAGGGCTGCAGGCCCCCTCACGGTAACTGGGTGTGATTTTCAGCTGCCACTTAAGCGATGTCAATGTCACGGGTTAGAATCACATCAGCAGTGGTGCTACAGCCTTGAACTGCACTACAGGAAGTGACACGACAGGCTGAGCTTTCTTATAACTTCCTTACCCACCAGTCCACCCTGTCAGTTGGTCATTCCAGTCAGCCTGGCATGGAGAGGGGAGGCTGGGTAGTTTAGGCAGGAGTAGGGTGGGCACCCGCCTCTGTGCACTTGGACCCTAGACCAGCCAGGACGGCCCTTCTCTCCAGACTGGGGCTGGCGAGGAACTAATTGTGTTTACAGAGCAGTTTTTGAGTATAACTGTTGTCTGGAATTTGACATCAGCGGAGGGTGCATTTATATATTGGTCTGCATCCCTGTATAGGAAAGCTTTGGTTTATCAAATCTTGTTTTTAAATTCCCACTGGGCTTAAGTCACTAGAAACTTTTGACTGTCCTAAAATGAAAACGGAAGATTTTAAGGGGAGCGGCTCAAGCATCCTGAAGAGGACGTTAGTAATCCAGCTGGGATTCTAACCCATTCTCCAGGATGGGTGAAGAAGAATGGAGAAAGTGGAATATCTGTGTTTGCCCAGTGAAAATTGTGCCAGCCCCTTGAAAAGCATGCATTTAATATTAAAGGATACAAAATCTGTAGTGTATTAGAAAGATATGAAAAAGAATGTATTTTGGAATTTGCACGATGACTCTGAAGGTTTGTAAAAGTCCTGATGTTCAGTAATTCAGCCTCGATAATTTAATAATTCTAAATGACTTTTCCAGAAAATAACTGATTAGACTTAATGTTTAGTGAGTCAGCAGGAAACTAAAGTCTGAAACAAAACCCGGCTTCCCTCTTCTCTGTTTTTTTGTCTCTTTCTGTCTCCCCTCCCTCTTTCTTCCTTTAGTAGTTTGACTGGTTAGTAAAAAACATGCAGGGTGGTATTTAACGCGTCCTTTATTTCTGAGTTCCAAGACTGCAGCTGGAAGTGTTTATGAAAGAACAGAGGACAATTAGCTATAAAAAGCAAGTTACTGGTCCTCCTTCTGAGATAAGTCACGAGACTGGGTATGTTCTGCTGCTTTCACAGCCCCTCTGTTCTTGGAGAGGAATTTCCATCCCTTTGTGGAACTGCCAGAGCAGCAACAGAGAGCTCTGAATGACGTCCTCCAGGCGGTCCTGTTTGATGAAGAATTACTCTTGGTTCTGGAGCAAGTGGTAAGACCGGAGACATCTCAAGGTAGTGTCTTCGCATGGTTTTCTGGAGATGTGGATGGGCTAGATCTCTTGGGATAAGGCCTTGAGCTGGGATAAAATGGTGTCTAAAATTTCCCCACCTCCTTTTAACCCTAAAGCTTCTTTTTTTTCTTATTCCCAGGTCCTTAGTTTTCTAACTGCAGAAAGGTAGTCGATGTGAATAGAAGGGTGTATTAGTTTCCTAGGGCTGCTGTAACAAATGACCACAAACTCCAATTTACTCTCTTACAATTCTGGAGGCCACAAGTCTAAAGTCAAGGTGTCATTAGGGCCATGCTTCCCCACAGGCTCTAGGAGAGAATCCTTTTTTGCCTCCTCCAGCTTCTGGTGGCTCCTGGCATTCCTTGGCTTGTGGCCACATCGCTCAAATCTCTACTCTGTCTTCACATGGCCATCTACTTTCCTGTCTCTTAAAGGACACCCACCATTGGATTCAGGGCCCACCCCAATCCAGGATGATCTCGAGATCCCTACCTAAATTACATCTGCAAGGATGCCAGATAAGGTCTCATTCTGAAGCTCCAGGTGGACCTATATTTGGAGGACCACTCTCCATCTCACTACAAGGCTTGTGTGTCATGGGGCAGAGGCCTATGTTGTGCCCAGCTTGGCCTGTGGCTTTACTAGATCTGTCTCTCTTCTCTTCCCTGCCGCCCCCCCATCTCTCCCTACAGTGTGAGGACATAGTCAGCAGCCTGTCACCCTCATTGGCGGTGCTGGGGAAGCTGAAGCCTTCACAGCAGCGGGATCTCGTGGCCTTCCTGCGGCTAGTGGGGTACAGTGTGCAGGGCGAGTGTCCAGGCCCAGAGGATGTGGTCCACAACCAGAAACTCCTTTCTACGGCCTACTTCTTGGTCAGTGCGCTAGCAGGTATGGAAAAAAAAAGGGGGAAGAAATGCTGTTGCCTTGAAATTACTTTGCTTACTTTGTGGACGATTTGGTACATAAGGTTCCCTCCCTTTCAAGCGGTGCAGGGATGATAGGCAGTGGAAGACTGAGGAAGTTAACAGGATTGCCGTGAAGTCACGGACTTGAGTATGAAGGAGGCCTGTCTGCTGCCAGCCTCCTCCAGTGTCTTGGAGAGAGGGCTTCCCTTTCCTCCCCCAGCGAGGGCTGTCTGTGGGCACACGCCCCCACCAACACAGGAAATCAGTTTCCCCAGACACAGCCGGTGATGCACACTCGTTGCCTGGCAATGCTGAGTGGCAGTGGCTTGCATTTGGCACCTGCTCTCTCCCCCAGTGTCTCGTTCCTTCTGATCCTCTTGTTCCTCTTTGCAAACTTACGGCTCTACCCCAAGTGCAGCATTGTGGCCATTAGGGCAGGGAGGCTGCAGAGAGCATCCCAATGCACTAGGTTGCTGGGCCCAGCAGCTCCACAACTTCCACATGCATCCTGGCCATCCAATTATTATTGAGCAGTGGACGCCGCCCTGACACTTCTTTGCCAGCTCCCATCCGGAACGCACCTTGCCAGAGGGTCTGTGGTACCACAAGGTGGTCATCCTGTATGAGGAAGCTGGGCTTTCACTTCCTTCTCAGAAAGGCAAGACCTGGCAAGGCAGCCCAGTCTTAGTCCCCACAACTTCCCTTCAAGGTGACGTTAGGGCACTGGGCTCCTGATACATTCAGAGTTCCTCCCCAGCACCACAGGGGAACAAAGGCCCAGGAGTCTCCAGTCTTTAAACAATTAATCAGAGCAAATGCCTCTCCCAGCTCCATATGCCAATGAATGTACGCTCTATGCCTTATTCCAAGTCATGGGTAAACATTTTGACTGGGATAGGACATAAGACAGAGCCCTGTGGAACTCCACTGGAGACCTTTTCCCAGTGTTAATTGGTATATCAGAGAGTTTAATTACTGGCATTCTATCAGGAGCTAATCTACAGGCCAGAGTTCTCTAGCTTGCGAGAAGCTCTTTCTTCACATACCCTATTACTTACTGAAATTTTTTTTAAACATCTTTATTGGAGTATAATTGCTTTACAATGGTGTGTTCGTTTCTGCTTTGTAACAGTGAATCAGTTATACATATACATATGTTCCCATATCTCTTCCCTCTTGCGTCTCCCTCCCTCCCACCCTCCCTATCCCACCCCTCTAGGTGGTCACAAAGCACCGAGCTGATCTCCCTGTGCTATGCAGCTACTTCCCACTAGCTATCTATTTTAATCTCAATAGGCTGGACGATTGATGTCAAATATGTAACACATGGCCAACACTGTGAATGCACCACAGTCCCCTTTTTCCTGAGCCTGGACACAGCCTCAAATTCTCTGCAGCCTTGCACACAGGCAGCCACTTGGGGTTGGCACATAACGTGAGACTTAACCTGCTGTGTCTGAGCTGGAAGCTCAGGGATAGTGAGATGTTTAAGTGCAGCTGAAAATATCTGCAGCCTGTTTCTAAACCAACGGTGCTCTTCTGCATCTTTCTGAACTGAGGTCTCATTTATGTGTTGGTCACTGTGGAGGTCGGATTGGTGTAAGCTCTTTCACTAATGCTCTTGTTTATTCTTGGCCCTTCTGAGTTGACCTTTTCCTCCTACAACAGTCTTCTCTTCTCAGAATCTGGGAAAGGTGCTAGAACAGGAAATGGCCCCTTTTTGAGGCCTGTTTCCAGCTTTCTAAGTAATAACACTAGTTTTTTCTATAGCATTTACTTTTTTAAAAAAACAACTGAGATATAATTGACACGTATATACATTAATTTCAGGTGTACAACAAAATGATTCGATATTTGTGTATATGTCTCATTAACTATGTATGCATCACCATACATAGTTAAAAGTTTTCATCACAAGAAAAATAAACTTTATAAGATTTACTCTTAGCAACTCTCAAATATACAGTATCGTTAACTCTAGTCACCATCCTGCACATTACATACCCGTGACATATTTTATAGCTGGAAGTCTGTACTTTTTAACCGTCTTCACCCATTTTACCCACCCATATACATTTTACCCACCCCCACACACACCCCTCCCAATCTGCTCTATGAGCCCTTTTTTATTTTAAGACTCCGTATATAAGTGAGATCATACGTTGTCTTTCTCTGTCTGACTTATCTCACTTAGCATAATGTTCTCAAGGCCCATCCATGGTGTCACAAATGGCAAGATTTCTTTTTTTAACTGATTAATAATATTCCTCTGTGTGTGTACCACATATTCTTTATCCATTCATCCATTGGTGGACACTTAGGTTGCTTCCCTATCTTAGCTTTTGTAAGTAATGCATCTTTTCAAGTCAGTGTTTTCGTTTTCTTTGGATAAATACCTAGGAGTGGAATTGCTGGATCCAATTATGGTAGTAAGACTTAATTTTTTGAGTAGCCTTAAAAAATTCTCACCAACAGTGCACAAGCGTTCCCTTTTTTCACATCCTTGCCAACACTTGTTATTTCCTGTCTTTTTGATAATAGCCATCCTAACAGATGTGAGGTCATACCTCAGTGTGGTTTTGATTTTAATTTCCCTGATGATGAGTGATGTTGAGTACCTTTTCATGTACCTATTAGCCATCTGTGTGTCTTCTTTGGAAAACTGTCTATTCAGATGTTCTGCCCTTTTTTTAAAAATTTTTAAAATGTATTATTTATTCATTTATTTTTGGCTGCGTTGGGTCTTCATTGCTGCACGCAGGCTTTCTCTAGCTGTGGCGAGTGGGCTTCTCATTGCAGTGGTTTCTCTTGTCGTGGAACACGGGCTCTAGGGTGTGCAGACTTCAGTAGTTGTGGCACACGGGCTCAGTAGTTGTGGCGCATGGGCTTAGCTGCTCCGTGACATGTGGGATCTTCCTGGACCAGAGCTCGAACCCGTGTCCCCTGCACTGGCAGGCAGATTCTACTGTGCTGCCAGGGAAGCCCCTTCTGCCCATTTTTAAATTGGATTTTTTTTTTGCTATTGAGTTGTATGAGTTCTTTATATGTTTTGGATATTAACCCCTTATCAGATATATGATTTGCAAGTATTTCTTTCCCCATCAATAGGCTGCCTTTTCATTTTGTTGATGATTTCCTTTGCTGTGCAGATCTTTAGTTTGATGTAGTTTCACTTGTTTATTTTTGCTTTTGTTGCCATTGCCTTTGGTATGAAATCCAAAAAAATCATTGCCAAGACTGACGTCAAGGAGCTTATTTACTGCCTATGTTTTCTTCTAATTTTATGGTTTCAGGTCTTATGTTTAAATCTTTGATCCATTTTGAGTTAGTTTTTCTGTATGGTGTAAGATAGTGGTCCCGTTTTCCCAGCACCATTTATTGAAGACTGTTCTTTCTCCATTGTACATTCTTGGCTCCTTTGTTGTAAATTAATTGACAATATATGCATGGGATTATTTCTGGGCTCTCTATTTTGTTCCACTGATCGATGTGTCTGTTTCTATGCCAATACAATACTATTTTGATTAATGTAGCTTTATAATATAATTTGAAATTAGGGCGTGTGATATCTCCAGCTTTGTTCTTCTTTCTCAAGATTGCTTTGGCTCTTCAGAATCTTTTATAGTTTTAAACAAATTTTATAATTGTTTGTTCTATTTCTGTGAAGAATGCCATTGGAATTCTGATAGCGGTTGCACTGAATCTGTAGCTTGGGTAGTATGAACGTTGTAGCAGTATTCTCCCAATTCATGAACATGAAATATCTTTCCAGTTATTTGTGTCTTCTTCAACTTCTTTCATCAGTGTCCTATAGTTTTCAGTGTACAGGTCTTTTACCTCTACGGTTAAATTGATTCCAAGGTATTTTATTCTTTTTGATGCAGTTGTAAATCGGATTGTTTTCTTAATTTCCTTTTCTGATAGTTTGTTATTAGTGTATAGAAATGCAACAGATTTTTGTATTTTGATTTTGATACTGCAACTTTACTGACTTTATTCGTGCTAACAGTTTTTTGTTATTTAGGGTTTTTTCTATATATAATATCATGTCATGTGCAAATAGGGATAGCTTTACTTCTTCCTTTCCGATTTGGATGCCTTTTGTTTCCTCTTCTTGCTTAACTGTTCTGGCCAGGACTTCCAATACTATGTTGAATAAAAGTGGTGAGTGGGCTTCCTTGTCTTGTTTCTGACCTTAGAGGAAAAGCTTTCAGTTTTTTACCACTGAGTATGATGTTAGCTGTGGACTTGTCATATCTGACCTTTATTATGTTGAGATATGTTCCCTCTTTACCCACTTTGTTGAGAGTTTTTATCATAAATGGATGATGAGTTTTGTCAAGTGCTTTTTCTGTGTTTATTGAGATGATCATATGATTTTTATCCTTCCTTTTGTTAATATGGTGTATCACATTGATTTGCAGATGTTGAACTGTCCTTGCATCTCTGGACTAAAATCCCATTTGATCATGATGTATGATTCTTTTAATGTATTGTTGAATTTGGTTTGCTAATATTTTGTTGAGGATTTTTGCATCTACGTTCATCAGGGATGTTGGTCTGTAATTTTCTTGTGGTGTCCTTGTCTGATTTTGGTATCAGGGTAATGCTGGCCTCATTATAAAATAAGTTTGGAAGTGTTCCTTCCTCTTATTTTTTGGAAGAATTTGAGAAGGACTGGTTTCAATTCTTTAAATGTATGCAGAATTCACCAGTGAAGCCATCCTGGTCCTTGACTTTCGTTTGTTGGGAGATTTTTGATTACTGATTCAGTCTACTTAGAAAATCTGAAAAGACTGATTACTACTATTTCTTCCTGATTCAGTCCTGGCGGATTGTATGCTTCTAGGAATTTATTAATTTCTTCTAGGTTGTCCAATGTTTTGGTATATAATTATTCATAGTACCCTCCTATGATCTCTTGTATTTCTGGGGTATCAGTTGTAACATCTCCACTTTCATTTCTGATTTTTTAATTTTTTT